CAGAAAGTCTTCCTTTCAGTTTTTCTTCTCTCTCTTGCATTTATTTCCAACAATGGTGTTGCAACAATATGTGCCTTTGTATCCATATATTGGATCTCATCCTTCTGCTAAGAGGTGCCTTTGAGCAGAAGCTAATTAAATCTGCCAGACATTTGGAATGGCTTTAAAATTATTTTTATTTTTTTTCCCCTTATGTATTGTAGTTGTTTATGACATTTGATTACTGACCCAGTAATTAACATTTCTCAGGACTGTCATTTAAAGTGAGTGAGAAGAAATCACAGCAATGCCTGATATGTTTTCTCTTTCTGGATTGTCAGTTTTTACTGTGCTGGAGTGAGTGCTTAGTGCATCCAAGACCTCCTTGTAGCTGTGCCGTAGTTACAAAGGAGAGACTCTGCAGCTGCTCACTTTTGATACACCGTGCACTGCTCAAGGGAAGGGGGGAGTGCAGAGTCTCTTCGGTTTTCTTGCCAATTCCAGCATGTTATGTTTGTCCTGTGATACACCCAAAATGTCTTATTTGAGGCATGTAACATGTTTCGTACCTGAACTCAAGACTGTCTTTACTGGGTCAGAGCAAAAACTGTCTCACCAAATGCCACAAAGAGTTGACCGGTAATGGGTGGCTTAGAGAAGACTCTTAGAACTGGGCAGACACCTGCTGATACTTCCTCAGCACAGTCCTGGAGTGCCCAGCAGCTCATGCCTCAGGGACTGTTGGGTTGTCCTGGTGTTTAACAGCCATGCATACAATTATCTTTTGCAAATGTATCCTTTTGAATCTATATGCACTTTTAGCATCCATAATCTCCTGCAGCAAGGACTTGCAGCACTTATTTACATGTGACATATCTTATAGGCTTAATACCTGCTAGTTCTAGTGTTTAAACCATGCAGTTATTCCCTATTTGTTGTCTTCCTGGACCAAATGATTTTGTAGGCTGTAGTCATAGCTTCGTCTCTCATCTTTCTGTTTTCCAGCCGTGAAGAGTCCTTCTCTTTATTTTCTCTTACAGTGTAACTTGTTCCATACCTCTATGAATTTATACTGTGGCATAATAGGCCCCCAGTAGTTCTTGTTTCTTTTCATAGAAGACTGTCATTTTTAATGAAACACTGCTTCATTAATTGCAGTGTCTTACTGGCCTGGAAATAATAATCCTCGCTACTGAGGGTGTGTAAAATAATAATCCTGAAACACCTCACTCTGGCTTCCCGAGCATTTAGCTCAGGTTCATTTTTGCAATGCTGGCATATCAGATAAGCACCTAACCGATATGTCAGCCTGGCTTTTCAGCTGCTTATGAGAAGGGGTCTTGTGTATGAGATGTCAGCATTTCCAAAGTCACCTGGCCATCTGCCCTGTCGATGGGCAGTGCAGGGAGCTGGCTGGCCAGTGAGTGCACGGGTCCGACGTTCACAGGTGTCGTGGTTCAAACCAACTGGGACAAAAAACCACACTGTGTCCAGCTCACTCCTCCTCCCACCCCCATTTCCACAGTGATATGGAGGGAGACAATGCAACTAAAAAGACTCAAGGGTTTGAGATGAAGGATAGGGAGGGTAATAATCTGCCATTTAAGATGACGGGTAAAGAACCAGAGCCACGTGGGGAGAAAAACATAGATTTAATTCACCACCACCATTTACAAAGTAGGATAGTGAGAGTAATACATCAATAAATATGACCTGATCTTAAATACACTTTACCCCCTCCACCTCTCCCATCTTCCCATCTACCTCCTCCCTCCCATCAGTGCAAGGAGGGCAGGGGGTGGGAGGTGCAATCCATGTGGCCATTACTCATTGTCCATGGCAGCAACTCATTGAGTAAGAGGACTCCTCGCAGTCTCTCCTTCATGCCATGTGGTGTCCACCTCACAGGAGGCAATCCTCTTCCTCCTCGTGAGTCCCTCAGGGCCACAGATCACTTCAGGCATGTCCACCACTGATGCTCAGTCTCTCTCCCCTCTCGCATGGGTTTCTGCACGTATCAACGCATCCTGTACATTCTCACCACCATCAATTCCCCCAGCTGGCAGGCAATCACCTTCCTGCCATCTCAACCACCACGAGGCTTCAGGGAAAGGTCCCGCTCCAGCAGGCTTCTCCCTCTCCTCCTCTGGGACTCTTCTACCCTCTCTTTCTTCTCAAGGTATTCCTTTGTTCTCCTTCACCTCCTCCTCCAACAGAAAAACTCCCCAACATTAAAGACAGGACAGCTCAAAACAAGACAAAACCAAAAGAGAGAGATAGAACAATGGGGTCGCCTCTTAAATAGCTAGATCGTGGAGGTGCTGATCGGTCTGGCCCTGGCCAGAGGCAGGTCCGGCTCCTACCTGGGAGTGGGGGAGGCTCTTGGATCTTCACACAGGTTTACCCCCACTTTTACAAAAAAAACCCCACCAGATTGAAACCCATGAAAACGGGCAATTCACATGGCTCGATGAGGCACCACGGCTGCTCTGGCAGCCCCTGGGCTGGGGTCTAAGGTAGGATTCACAGCAAGCCATACATATAGCAGTTGTGAAATGACAAGAATTGCATTCCTTTCGGTCAGCAGCTGCTGAGGATATCGGGAAAGCATATTTTGTTTTAGGAACATCACATTTGGGTTTCCAAAACAAAATTTGAAGGATTTCTCATCCATGAAAACTTTAAAGTTGGCTTGCCTCCTGATTCAAGGTGTTTTTTTCTGAAAACAGAAAAAACATGTAAGGAAAATTCTGATTGCCAGCCAGCTCTATTTATACATTGGTTGAAAGATTATTTCTCTTATTTTCCACATGTCGTTAGTAAGAAACTTTACTGCATCTATGCTTTTTGCATTTGTATTTCTCTCATCACTGCAATGACTGTTAGTGTCCCAGTGTGCCACTTAAATTTTCTTCTGCGTAATTTCTTTTCATTACTTCATTGCACGCCCTTCAAATAATGTAACCACATTTTTGTTTACACCCTTGACATCCACAAGTGATGATGCTTTTCAGTCATTCTCTAGCTAAGCCGTAACTTATTTGTCTTGTGGTCTTCTGATTACAGAATAAATATGCAGCTATGGAAAATACACATCCTCTAATGTATATTAGTAAAAGCAGATGGCACAATCTGTTCTTCAGTGGAATTCAGTTTTTAAAACTAATTTAATCTGGTTTGCAGCAAATAACCCCTCTGGTACCATCTGTCATAGAACATGTGTGAAGGGGCAAGTCCTGTTTCTGGTTGTTTGTATTTCCTTGCAGCGAGGTATTTATTTCACATGTTCCATGATATCACGTACCAGAAGGCCTACTGTAAAGGCACGTTGTTTCACTGCACAGAACTACGTTCTTTATTATTTGATATTTTCACATATTATTATTTTTCATTACCCATTTTTCATTACAAAGCTCTGTACTGCCAGACCCTTTTGCAAACTTAGTTTTCCTGCAGCCGTTAATAGAATTTGCACTTGAGAAGAAATGATGGTGAATTATTTTCTTAATTTGTGAAGGAGAGAGGAATTTGAAAGTAATTAGCACAGCATTTTACGTAACTTGGCATTTTTCCCATTGTGAAGAAAGAGTTTCCACTTTGCTTCAGAACGGAGGATTTCCCAAAACTATCACAGCCAGTAAAGCTGTTTGTGTTCTGTTTCTGCTAAGCTGAATGCAGAAAAGAATACAGTGTGTAGTATTTGTCTTCGCCAGCTCAGACAGATCCTGTAACCTCCAAAGCAGGACCTACTTAGGCTGAAATGGTGAATTGCTATAGAAGCCTTGAGGCTTTCTGTAGCTGCAGAAACATGACACAGAGACAGCTTTCTTCTCCCCGCTTGCCACAAACACAAAATGCTGCAAGCTCTAGATACAGATGTTGCAAGCAGCAAAGATGGGAAAGTGGTAGGTAATTTGTATTCCATTTCCTTCTGCACTAAAGAATATGGGAAACCTCCAAAAGCTTGTGGAGTTAATAAGATTGAAGAGTGTGGTGGAGTAAAGCAGAAATAGCCTGATGCAAAAGCATCCATTTGGAAGAAAGCCGTTAGGCTTCTTACCTTTCTGAGTAATTGTTTGACCGTTCTCTGCATTTTAAGAATTAAATATTTGCTGTTTTTTTCTTTTAAGTGATTCTATTTCCCAGTTCTTTTCTCTAGAGTGTCCTCAGCTCCTCTGGACTTAGGGCTAGAAGTTAAAAATTGATCTCTGACGCAATTTAAACGCAATCACATCCAAAACTATCAAATGTCACAGCTTCCACAGAAGATGGTTTGTTTCGCGGTCCTACTAGGAATGCTTATGACTTTATTTATGTCCAAAGCCAATAATTAATACACAAGAAAAATTAATAAACGTACTTCAGAGTGGTAGTACTGTGTAAAAAGAAAGGAACTTAAAAGGAAACGTATGCGTGGGGCAAATAAAACTTGCCTTTTTGTAAAGTTTATGTGATAGACTTGTTGTTTCTAAAGCTATACCATGGATGTCACTGAAGAGAGGACGGAGATCGTAGAATCATAGAATTGTCAGGGTTAGAAGGGACCTTAAAGATCATGGAATCATAGTATCATAGAACGGCATAGGCTGGAAGGGACCTTAGAGATCATCTTGTACAACCTCCCTGTTTTGGGCAGGGATGCCACCTCTCGACTAGACCTGGCAACACATGAGGACCGAGTGGGAAATTTCCAGTTTTCACTCAAAACTCTAATCAGTAATACTGAAAACTCCAATCAGAATAAGAAACCTCATGTATTTGGTGCAGCACTGGAGTCATGAAATGAAAAGGCGGTAAGCCTACACAGAATCTGTGACAAAGTAAGAAGGTATTTTCTAGCTCTTAAGAATATTAAAGTATCGTTTTGCTACTGTAACTTTATTACTTCATTCAAAACACCATAAAGCATAGGTGTACTCAACCACGGATTTCCCCATCCTCCCTTCCCACCCACAATTAACAGTGGTAATGATGAAAATAACGACAGTTGCAGCAAACTTCTCTTTCAAGTCCTTAGGCAAGTGGTCTGCTTTTTGCCTGCACACCACAGAAGTTGTTACGAGGTCCACCGCCACCAAGCTACCTTCATTCTGTCCCACACAGCTGAGAGAGAATCAAATGCGGGGTGACCGTCCAGGATAGTGAACTGGTAGTTCTTATCTACTGCTCCACCATCATAGTAATCGATAACATACCGCATTTCTTTTCCACATCGGTCAACAATCCAGTCATGTCTGTCAAAGGGAAGTTCGTATCCCATCCATGAACATATTCTGGCTCTTGGTGAATATTCCTTTGCTTTGCCTCCAAACCGCATCAGCGATGGTCCACATGGACATTCCACAGCATGAAGCGCTTCCCACTTCAAAATCTCTTTCCAAGCTTGTTCATTATTTTGGTTGTGAATCTTAATAATGTTGGTCATATCTTCCTCTGTTATGTCATCGTCTTTCCACCTCCACCCTTTTCTTAGCATAGCGTTCCAGAACATTTGCTCTGAAGGATAGACCCATTTCTTGTCAGAGTGTGCTCTAGGAATTGAAGATTCTTCTCTAACAGTTGACAATGGAAATGGCTGACCAGGGAATGGCTGCTGATTGGGAGGAGGCATCATATTGCTAGGATCTATCATCTAGTTCCAAC